TTTTTATGGACGGCGAATTTTGTCAAATCATCATTAGGTTGAAAGTTTTTATTAATTAGATATCAAGTTTTAAAAATGTATATAACTTCAAAACTAATTGAGATACTTCACGTACCACTCAACTTCATTTTAACGTATAATATGTTTTTCAAATACAAGTAGATGTCAACAATAAAATTACATATTTAAAAATTAGTGAGTATATCATTAAGATAATATACATTATTCAACGATTATATTTGTTAAATTCATATTTAAAAAAATTATTGATTAAACGGTGAAAGTGTTTAAGACTTACTAAAATAAGAGAAGAAAATGTAATATTAGTTTATCCTCCCTCAAGCTTGTCCTTTTAATTTTGGGAAAACTTCAAAAAAAATCCTATGAGTTTCTTAATTATCACTTACCCCCTCACAAAACTTTTGAATCGTTTATATCTTTATTTAGATTTTTTTTATTACTTACCTCCCTGACTTAAAGTTTCTTTATCACTTACCCCCTCACTTAAGGGGGTAAATAATAAAGAAACTTTAAGTCAAGGGGGTAAATGATTCAAAATTTGAGGAGAGGGTAAATGATTACGAAGAAAGTTATAGGATTTTTTTTTTTGAAGTTTTTCCTTTAATTTTTGATCTTATATATATATATATATATGAAAAAATATTTCTACAGCCACTTTAGATAAGGTTATCTACAGCTACTATTTATAACTATGTTCTCCGGGGAGAACATAGTTATAACATTAAAGTTGTTTTTTATATTCTCTACTCAGTTACTTTTCAGAACTTGTTTGCTAACGTGGAAAGACAGAAAAAGGTAACTTTAATGTTATAACTATGTTCTCCCGGGAGAATATAGTTATACATAGTAGTTGTAGATAACCTTATCTAAAGTGGAGAAATGTTTACCCTATATATATATATATATATATATATATATATATATATATATATATATATATATATGAGTCATGATCATTTTACACCAGTATAAGTTACACTCTTAATCTTGTCCATTGATTCCACTTATATCAAGTGCTCTAATTTTTTAGTAATGTGAGTCATTGGATACAAGTGGATAAATAGTCAAGATTAAGTGTAAGACTTCTAACTCTTACATCGGTGTAAGAATATTCTGAACCTATATGTATATAGAGAGGGTAATACTTCTCTCATTTAACATGAGAAAAGTTTTTTTTCCTACATTAACAAGAAATGTGGAGCTCACACGTTAAAGAAAAATACAAAAGAAAAGAAATTACATGCACATCTTTTTATGTCTCAATGGCATGAGATAGTTATCTCTTACCGTCGAAGAAAACAATTTCTCATATATATGGTTTGTTATGTATAAAGAAAATTTGAAGGATTATTTGAATCAGGTCATATATTCGCCTTGTGCTTATAAAATTTTCTGATTCCGCTATTAAAGTACATTATCAACATATTATTATGGGTTAAAAGTTTATACTTTAAAAGATATAATTTTTTTTTAATAATTTATAATTATCTACTAAGTGTAGTATATAGTTATAATATTAAAATTAATCTTTTTAATTTTTTACGTTAGCAAATAATGTCTGAAGAGAAAGAAAACGTATAATTTTAATATTGTAACTATGTAACTATCCTTAGTACATAGTTATAAATTGTTAAAAGGACATAAATTACATCTTTTTTTTTATATAAACTAAGTTATATCTTTCAAAAGGACAAATCATTTTCCTTATTATTATAGTTAAAAAGTGACTAAAAGAGGTTTGTGGACAATGTGTAATTTCTCCCAAAAATCTTCAAAGAGGTTGGAGGATCTACCCTGACTCTGGTGGAATATCGATGTCTAACCCCACCTAAACTTTTATGTACTAAAAAAAAGTGACTAAAAGTAAAAGTCATTTTACATTTTTTTAACCACCTGCTAACTTATTACATAATTTTATTTATTAGATCTCAAATTTATATTTTATTTATTTCATATTAAAAAAGAGTTAAAATAAATAACATCTTTTCCTTCTATTTTTCTTGTATTATCCTAAGAAAAAAGAATAAGCAATTTACATACTTTTAATACTTTAAGGTTAGTCAATTAAATGGTTTTACTGTTATTGATGCATAAATGTCTTACATGCAATTCAGTGGCCGACCTAAGAAATTTTTTTTATGTCTGCACATTTAGGGCGAGGGCAGTGCCCCCGAAATTTAAAAAAAAAAATTATGATCATGATCCAATTTTTGTTTTCACTTCAAAAGTAAAGCTTTGGTGAATCAACAACTAGAGTTTTAATAAATAATCGATAATGATAATTAAAAAACAAACACCAGAAAAAGACATTTGTAAACTATAGTATAATCGGTCAAAAGTTCACATCTGTCGATGTCTATTTGATTCAAAGTTAGCCACTTTTGCTTCACAAAAAAAAAATGAAAAATCAAGTATGATTTTCCTCCACTAGATGAAGATAGAATTTCAGGAATTGTTGATGTCTATTAAGATTTGGAGTTAATAAGGTCTATGTTTAAAATAGACAAAGCAATGGGTTAGGGTTTAAGCTTTAAGCTTTTTTTTTGGTAACAAACTTTAAGCTTTTAATTATAGGGATTGGTTGGATTGAGTCTATCTTTATCTTTTTATTTTTTATTTTTATTTTTTTTACTTGACCTAAATCATTCACCCTTGTGGAAAAAAAAATTCTCCAAGTTTATGTCTGCAAATGCACACAAGTGCAACCAAGTAGGTCCGCCGTTGATGCAATTATGCAACTTGTATATACTTGTTTTTAATACCAATATAATATATTTAGTTTCAATTAGTTAAATTAAGATTCAAAACAACTACAGGTGGTATAGCGGGTTGCCTCTGCCCCGTCCCGCTGTGAACTCGTCTACAAACGAGCTAGCTCGTGCCCCATTCCGCCCAAACTTTGTTCTTATTCGCTTATTGTATAGTTTTAATGAGGTCCCAGCGCATATATATATATATATATATATATATATATATATATATATATATTTTTTTTAATTCTTTGCTGCGCACCGTCTCTCTATTTGCTTTTTTGACCATATGGTGAGGAAAAAGCTATCACATTTGAATACCAAGAAAATAAGTGGAATGTGATGTTAAGAATCTTGAGGTCACCACTTCAAAAGCTAGCTCAAGGGGTGGGAGTGCCTAAGGTCTTATAAATGTCATATTAGTTGTCCATCCAATCAATGTGGGACTATATATCTCAACACCTCCCCTCACGCAAGAGCTCTTTAGGCTAGAAGCGTGGAAATTACACAGATCCATTTTTGGTTTTACCTTTTTGTGTTTTTATTTTATTTTAATTCCACTTTTTAAAGCGGGGGACGGTGAGGCTCTGATACCATGTTAAGAACCTTGAGGTTACCACTCTAAAAGCTAGCTCAAGGGGTGAGAGTACCCAAGACCTTATAAAGGCCATATTAGTTGTTTATCCAATTAATGTGATACTATATATTTCAACACGCCCCCTCACACAAGAGCCCTTTAGGCTAAAAGCGTGAAAATTGCAGGTCAGATTTTATAATTAAAGGCAAAGGGGAGGGGGAAGCCATCCCTCTTGCTGATCATCCTTAATGAAGATAATGTCAAAAACACAATGTCATTATTGGTTTACGTAGTAAAGTGTAATTTGACGTAAATTGAGTTTAAAGTAACGTATTTACCGAATAAAGTTTAATTTGATGTAAATTGAGTATAAAGTTACGTATAACTATTGGTTTAAGTGGGTGAGAAATTTCCTTAACTAAATTGGATATTAGTAAATCGGTTGGGAAAAAAAAAAGTGAGTGTAAACTTTATTATATTATTATTTAATTTGATGTTAATATCTAATTTTATTAATTTTATTCTTGTAAGAATTATATGAAAAATCACATTGATTAAATAATTTGAAAATATATTATGATAAAATAATATAAATAAATTGTAAGGTATATTAAGATTAATTTTCTTAATGAATAATACTTAATATATACCTTAAAAACTTTCATATAGTTCATCATTGGTCAAGCTTAACTCTTTTCTGTATCTATTAGAATTTCATATATAAAAAGAAGTTGTTAGTGAGTGTCTTTGAAATATGGATTACAGGATTAAAATTAAATAAATTAAGAATATAATATATTAAGAAACATTAAATGAAGGTCAAGAATATAATATATTAACAAGGTAAATTAATTTACTATTTGATCATTAAATAATAAAATTATTTAATAAAATTATTATTTTCTTTTTTGCCATTCTTATAAAACACTAAAAAAGAAGAGTACATACCAAATGGTGATAGCTCAGTTGGGGCATGAGAGCTAAGCAGGTGGAGGTAAGAGATGTGTTCGAATCTCCCCAATACCAACTTTGGAAGGAGTTTAAAGTCTTAATCCTAAACCCACCTCGAATAGGATTAGTTGGGAAGCAATGAACCGATTAAAATATTTCAAAAAAAAAAAGAGTATAAATAGAGGCCTAACGTATATTTAATGAAATAAAATATATTATTGCAATTGAAACCAACAATATAATAAAATTAAATCACTTCATCTTTTCAATTCCTTGTAACCTCCAAAAAAATAAATTAAATCACTTATTTTGAAATGAATACGTGATTAGATTTCTTTGAGTAATTTTCACATTGATTTGATATATTCACATTTGATTTGATATATTCATGGGAATTAATTTTCTTTGATACCATAACTTAAACTCAGAATCTTTGTAATTAAGGCAGAGAGCAGACTTCGGAATTAATTTTAATTCTTTTCACATATATTTATTCTTGATCTTATATCAAAATATATAAGAAAATACCTTAATAAAAATTAAGAAAACCCTTGTTTAAAAGAAAGGAGACACTACAAGAAAAGCGGCCTTTAGCTACATGTGATTTGCGACATTTAATGAATCATTATAAAATTATATAAACACCCCTAATTTTATGACATTGTTTTTTAACGTCCCAAATTACTCGAGAAAAAATGCTCTCCGTTGAGTAAAACCAAAAATACAAAATTGCTTAGTCAAATTTCCTCATTCATTTTTTTCATTCTTCGGTGTCTTTAAATCTCCATTCACAACAAACACAACTTCTTCAGAGCTTTTGTGCTCTTTTTATTCTAGTTTAACATTTCTTCACCTTCATCCTTAAAGCTTCTTCCATGAAGCATTGGTAAACCCTAGGAAAAACTAGGTACCTTGTGGTTCAATTTGAAGTCAAATCAAACAAGTACAATATGTCATTGCTCTTCTATTTAAAGTTATGCCCGATTAAACATGAAGTGGCTGGTGAGATTTTCTTTCCTTCTCTATTTTCGTTTCCGATTAAGAAAATTGGATTTTCCAGATTTTTTTTTTACTTTGGAAATTGAAAATCGAAGGGAAAAATGAAGAGAATCCATGCATACTTCAGATTTGTTTGCTATATTCTCCGAATATTTTCTTCCTTATTGATTTTAATGTTATTTGGTTCATATTTTTTTGTATATTCTCCGAATATACTCTTCAGATGTGGGCTTAGCATTTGGCTTTGTTGTTTATTGCACTAAAAAATGTATTTAAAGTGATTTGGAGATAAACTTGGATGTCTATAATTCTTGTTTATCTTTTTAGATTTACAATTTTTAATGTTAATCTTTTGTGGCATTTGCCTGACTCAAAAAGTGTCAAAAAGGGGATACTTCGCGCAATCTGCGAATGTGCAGATTTGTAACTTAATATAGTATCTTAGTTCGTTTGTTCCTCTATTGCAGCTAATGGTCTTGAAATGTTTGACACTTTATCTTCTTCGCTTATTTGAATTATAGTTTCCCTTTATTTTCAACTAGTTCAGCTTTAAATTTAGCTTAACTCTCATGTGCAGCTTTCAGTTATTATTCTAGTCATGATATTTACTAATCGTAATTTTGTTGAATTAGATGCTCAGCGATTTTGTCTTGCATATATGTACAGGAAAATATAAGTAAAAAACATGCCACTTTATTAGAGCTTAGTTTAAGCGTAACAAGAAAATATAAGTAATAAGCTGCCACTTTTGAGTTGTTTTAAATGTTGCTTCAACAACGTTGTGTAATAATACTTTTTTTTTATCTATTTATCAGTTGGGAGGTTTTGGTCTGGCTAAACTAATGGACTCCATATACTTAACAATGTAATTTAAATTACTTATTTACGAAGCATATCTTAAATTGTGTGGACAGAGACGACACAAACTCTGTACTTTATACGGGGTTATAAACAAGCTATAATTCTTGGATTTATGCTGCCTTGCTATTTTGACAAATTAATGTGATGCTTTAAACAGTTTATTAATCTTTAAGTTTGCATGTCACAACATTCCTTAATACAGGATACGACATTTTTTTTTTCTTTACATGGTCTGTAGTAAATCACTTGCACCTTTGATTTCTCATTTGTTTTTCTTTAACTAGGGATCTTGTATCTATTTATGAGAAGCATCTTGTATCCATTTATAGAGTGATCCTCCTTAACTAGGGAATTTCTTATGTGACTGTTTGATGAAGGCTAATTATTAATATTATGCTTGTGTTTTCTATGTGCTCCTCACGTTCTGGTCAGTGAATCGTATGGATTAAAGTTTCCTCAAGGATTTTCACTATTAAAAAACATTGGGTTTTAATAGTGAGTTTTTTTACACTTACTGCTATGTTTTGGATTGAAATTTTATGTGCAGACCAAATATAAGTTATATTTGATATTGGATTTCATAAATGGAGGGCATCTTTTCTTTCATCTATATAGGCAGGGTATCTTCAGGTACCTTGTTCTTCATCTCACATTAAATGCTACAACTTAAATATTCTACTTTTTTTATTTGGTAATTATGATACTTTGGTATGTGTTGATGAGTAGTGAGGATTAGACAAGGATTTACATTGTTGAGATAGTATATGTTGTTTCACATCTTCACAAGAACGACATCGTGTATCGGGATCTTAAACCTGAAAACATACGCATGGATCCTGATGGTTATGTAAATTTGCATGAAATTTATTTTTAGTTTCAAATTTGATATTTTATTATTATTATTATTATTTGATAAACCAAATTTGATAGTTTAAAATGTTGTTTCATATCACATCTATGTTAAGAACTTGATAGTTTCAAATTCACCGTATTCTTGTAGTATAAAGGTACTTTATGTTTTGCTCTGATAGTTTGATATGCAGTGAAGCTTGCTTGTTCTTATTTAATATGAAAGTTTATGTCTTAGCGTACTCGTTTATGCTTCTTTAATTTTGTGCTGAAATTAGTTACTGTCACTACGCACTTGTGTTTCAGTAGGGTTGAAATATGGCTTTTTTATTCAAAGCTAGAGAAATAACTATGTAATTTATGAATGTAAAGTCAAGTTATCCTTGTGTTTCAGTGTCCATTCTATCTTTGTTTCAACACTTCTTCCAAACTCAAACTATGGTCTCCTAATTAAGGAAAATTTTCATTTTTTTTCTATTTGGCTAACTATTTTGACATCAAAATTGACCAAAGAAGTTGCTGCTCCTTTCCTTTATGCAGGCTTTACGAGAAAAACATAGTATACTTGATCTTCGATGGTCTGCTCGATTTCGATATGCATCTATAACTCCACTTGAGGTTGGTTGAAAGCATGATACTGTTTAATGTGACTGGGATAATTGTGGTATGACCTTAACTTTGTTAAATGGAGCAAGTCCAAAATCTTGGTCGCTTGTTAGGTGGATTAGCAATTAATCTGTAATCTGTCTACTACTAAAATAACATATTATGCAATTTCCAGGTTGATGGCTCAATACACAAGTTTTTGAAGAGTGGTAGAGACCTCCATGGCTCCTTGATCGCTGCTATCATTCGAAATTTGAAGATAGTTAAGGTATTTAGCTTGGTATATCGAAACAGGGTCTAGTGTTCTGAATAAAGTTACTTGAAAGTGCATGGAATAACACCAGAAACTCTTTGCTAAAGAGTAATTTATATGTACCCTTCTTTTTTTCCTCTATTTCAATATTATGACGTGAGACTATTGAACCTCAAGAGAGATATCAATGACTAAATGCTAAAGTTATATGGTATTTATAAAATAAGCTTAGTCTTTTGCAGTTTCATCATTGTAATTTTTTCAAGGACATTAAATATGGTTTTAAAAGTGTCTATATATGTTGTATCCTGCACGGTAGGTAACAGTCCGTGGTAAGAGATGGTAATTTATATTCATAGCAGTCTATTGTTGTGCATTAGGCTATATAAAACAACTGGAACTCAAATGTGTATACAACAATTTTCTTTTCCACTTAGGCATATACAACTTCCAATGCCACACTCCCTATGTCTATATCATTACTTTAATTCCATGGATTTGTCTGTTTTCATTATTTGTCATTTAATCATTTATAGGGCAAAAAGACACAGGCCTACATAATACAATTCAATTTGAGACTTTAAGGTCAGTTGTAAAAAATCTCACAAAAAGTAGTTAAATAAGAAATAACTAAATATTTGTAGCACATTGAACATCAAGATAACATATTTAATCAGCCAAGATAATGTATGACATCAGTTTTGGTTGCGGTTTGCTTGCTTGCATACCAACAAATGAGACTTTTTAGATATTACTATGTTTTATTCTTGTGAGTAATGGGATTATTTTACACAAGTGGAAGAAAAACTAATACCTTTGTTTTTTGTGTTTTTTTTACAGGTGTAATTTGGTAGTAAGCCTTTTAAAGGGTTATAATGCATTCAAGAGGGATTTTTGAAAGACTGATACAAAAAATTTGTATTGTCATATTTTTTGTAATTTTGTATAGATGTCTAATGACAATGATAAAAAAATAAAATTTATGATTCATAGCATAAAATTAGGAGATTCATATATAGAATAATAGTCAATTTTGCGTATTGATTGTATGCATAATGTATTGATGATCAATATTCTCATTATGATCAATATTCTCTTTTCTGAAATGTATATTGTTACCAATGAATGTTTGGATTTTTTTTTTACATATGTATGCTTCAGCAGACAGTGGATAATATATGAAAATCTCCAGCTTTTTGGAGTCTCTAAGTGCAAATGAGATTCTTTTAATTTAAGCCATGAATTTTCAAATCTCTTCATTTTTTGAAGTGGTAAAGTTTAAATTTAAACTTTTGTTATGGTGGATGAAGTTAATTTTGAATGCCAGGTTCAATTTTTCATGGTAAAAAAACTATAATTAATAATGTAAATTAATTGTTGTAAGATTGAACTTGAGCTATTTTTAATATTATTTTCTTTATTGTTGTCAGATTTATTAAATTTGAAATATTTTTAATTAAAAAAAGAATTTCATATATTTAGCCACATTTATGAATGTGGTTAAAAAAAATTTCAGACATAATTAGCCACATTTTTTACGGTGGCAAAATATATAGTTTAACCACATTTATCAAGTGGCTAAAATAACATTAATTGTGGCTAAAAGAGTGCTACCACACTCAGTTAAAATGTGGCTAAATGAATAAAATAATGTGGTTAAATTATTGCAACGCCACTTTTAACCACATTTAATTAAAATGTGGTAAAATTTGTTAGCCACATTTTTTATTAAGTTTTGCCACGTTTTGAAATGTGGATAAATAACACTTTTTTTGTAGTGAGATTATATTATTTCCGGCTATAATCATTTTGACTTAGTATTAGAAAACATATTGGGACTGCCTATTAAAAATGACACATCTTAGAATTAATGCCTAATATTTCTTGTCAATGAGTTAGATACCTTTGGTTGGTAGCACACATCAATGCACCCAGTAAAATTCTGGAGGGAAAGTTGCATGAATTACGTATTAGTATTTAGGTTCAGTGAGTCTCTCTCTCTCTATACTGTCCTCCTCTTTCTTATGTTTCTTTTCGGTTGATTTGGAGTTATTGTATATGTGGTCCATATTTGAAGCACATTTTTCCTTATCTGGTTGGGCATTGAGAGTTGATGGAGATTCTCCCTCCTTAATGGATTGTACAAACAATAAAAAAGTTTAACATTTGTCGTGGCCCCTTATCCACGATGGCCCATTTTGGCTGCCCATTTAGTATGGCTTTCACTTTGACCCTTCTGTTGCTAGTGTCCCTTTAGCTTTTGGGTTGCCACTTCCTCATTGGCCACTTAGAATACCATTATTTGCATAACACTATCTTTTTAATTAGACACTTAGTTAGATTTAGATCAGCTATTTTATTTTATTTCAAAACATTTTAGGGATTTACTATGATGTTATTTTATTAATCAAGCACTTCCCCTACTGTGGACAATTTCAAATTGGAAGATGATGCTCTTAATGAAAAAGATGGTCAGAGACAGAGAAAAAGGTCAAGGAGGGTTCAAATCAAGGAGAATTGTGTATTGATGTGAAGTTCAAAAAAGACTAAGAAGAAATTGTTTTGTTGAATTATGAAGTCAGTTTTGCATTGTGTATTGATATGTTAAATTTTTAAGGTTACAATATATATTTATTGTACACCGCTCACTAATTGTATAAGTCTTTTTTAATACTTAGCCTAATATACGATATGGACTTTTGTGCATTTAATGTATTCATTAATGAGATTTGATTTTGACATATTGTTTACTTTGATTATATTGTTTTATCAGGTGCAATATCGAAAATCGATATTAATTTTGTAGAGAGAAATTTAAAAAAAAATAGGAAATTGTTTTACAAAATTTGTTTTCCGTTGAAAATTTTCGACAGAATTTATTTTCTGTCGAAAATCTTTACACCAGTTTTTGACGGAAATTCATTGAATTTTCGTTGAAATTTTTTGACGAAAATAAATTCCATTGAAATTTAGAAGGAAATAAATTCCTTATTTTCGTCGAAATTTTTTGACATAATCTCAAATTTCGTCGAAAAATTATTATCAACGAAGGAAAATTCAACGGCCTGAATTCCGTCGATAATTCTGTTGAAAATTTCATTTTCGACAAAATTTTTCCATCAAAAAATAGACTTTTCTAATAGTGCATGAGCTTATGTCTTTTTCCCTTTTGCTCTTTAATTTGATTATGGTCTCGAATTCAACCAACCCTCAAATTCTTTCCACTTCGAACATGGATTCAAGTCACGGGCTTCATTATGTTGTACTTTTATTTATTTACGAAGTGTTCATGGACTCAAGAGCGTTATGTTGTTATTTTGATTCCAGCCCCAATTTGTGGCTCTTTGTTTATCCAAGGAATTGCGTGTAGTTTTTTCAATAATTTTATGATGAGTAGAATGGATTTTAAGAAAACTAATTTGATTCTAGATGTGAGATTTATTAAATTTTGAAAAAATATACATATATTAACATTTTAAAAATGATTATATTTTATTGTTCAACAAAATTAATTATTTTGAATTCACTTTTAAAATACTATTTTCAAACAAAAATTAATTTGTTTTAGCATCAATTATTGTAAAATTGTTTTGAAACTAAGAAAGAAAATAAATACATGTTATAAAACTAAGAGAGCAAATAGAGACAATCTGAAATAAAGGGAGAAAGTAGAAGAATATCACCAATCCTTATTGTCTCCTTTTTCATAGAGTACATGTCTTTATATAAGACTTCAAGGATGAATGAGGGGATAAATTACACATTAATGCACCATTTTGCAAGATGGTTACAATTCATACCAAAAGTCATAGGCAAACAAAAGGTCAGCTTCTAAAATCTCAATAGTCATCCATATGTAAAATTCATGTTTTACAACACTTCCCTTTAGATGACTACACATTATGAATATGCCTCGTTAAAACCTTGCCAAGAAAACCATATTGGATAAAAACTTAGCGAAGGAAAAATAGTACTATATTTATAATCAATTTACTTCCCCTGATTTCAACAAATATTACTCAGATGACATAAACCAATCTTTTACAAAGCTGCTAAAAAAATATAGTAGGAAAAGGTAATGATTTCGACAACGACTTTGCGAACAAATATTTATTTGAGCGAATCTAATAGACAACTCTCTCTCAATTCCTTTGAAGATCATGTCTAAAAAGAACTTTGGTGAAATGTACTTAGTCATGTCTCCCTTGTTGTTTCATTCCCTTATTGAGTAATACATGTAACATTATCCTCATATGATTTTACCGTGATCATTTGAAGACCACAGGCTTCTTCTGCATGTTGAATCATTAATCCTTGCCATACATTCTCTATCATCTTCACACAATGCAATCAATTCAAGTATTAGTATATATAATAAAAATGAGCTTTGAATTCTTTTTTTATAAAATAATCGCATATAATGTATTTCGCGTATGTGTATGTATTTTGTTCGAATATGTTTGCATTGCAATAACATTATATCTTGCTAACACATATATAGAAAATGTTATATCAAATCAGTAACAAGATACACACAAGCCCCATATGCATTTAAATGTGGTACTTCAAGACCAAGGACTTCTTCGTAATATTTTCGATGACAAAAAGAACCATGTTGAACTCAATTGATGAGTTTCGTCAATGTAAAACATTTTAATATCTTCTCTATATAATTTGATTGATAAACTAATATTTCATTAGATAACTGCTCGATCTGCAAGTCGAGACAAAATTTAGTTACTCCAAAATATTTTATTCGAATTCATTTTATAAATATTATGAATCAATTATTAATAATTGTACTCCTTCAGATAATATAATACATGCTCTTGTGGAGCTTTCAATCAAGTTCATATTGCCAAAATCTAGTACTGACACTTGTGTTAGTCATATTTAAGGTCATTAGTTTGTAACCATAAGCTTTTTCATATCTAAGATTAAAATCTAAAATATTCATTTATGGGAATATAGTTAAACTCATTGGTTCATAATTGGAATATGAACATTTAGAATATTCACTTATGGGAGTAGAGTTTAATCATTGGGCAGCCTTATGGTACAATTTTTTTATTAATGATTTGTTCTTGTAGTGAATCATATAAATTCACAAACTTGATTGAGAATATTTCTTGAACCATTTTCTCAATGTTGCTATTGCTGGAGCATATTCAATAGGCATATAGTATTGAGAATGTTTTCTCTCATTTTTCTTCTTTTGAATTATTCTAAAGATCGACGATATCTTTTTAATTATGGTCTAGCTCTAAATCTTCAGGAACTGTAATACAATTATGAATAATGACCAATAATATCCATTGATTTGTGCAATCCTTCAGTGATGCTTTAAAATATAATTTCTTTTCAAGAATTTACCAAGAAAGAAAAACAAAAGAAAAAATTCATATTATAAAAAACATGAAGAAAGCAAAAAGGAAAGAAATAAAGCCATGAAATATATTAATTGAAGAAGAAATTATAAGAATTTGTTATTCCCTTTTATGTTGATCAAACTCATCACTTGGTTACGGGAGACTTGTGAACATGGGGAAATTTAGTATACCAGAGACTTGATCTTGATTTACACCATTAGAGAGTTAATCATGATTGTGTTGCTACACCACTAGAGACTTGATCGTACTGATAATGTGTTATGAAACTAAGAAAGAAAATAAATACATGTTATAAAACTAAGAGAGAAAATAGAGACAGTACAAAACAAAGGGAGAAAGTAGAAGAATAACACCAATCCTTATTATCTTCTTTTTCATAGAGCACATGCCTTTATATAGGACTTCAAGGGTAAATAGGGGAACTAATTACGCATTAATGCACCATTATATAAGATAGTTACAATTCATACCAAAAGTTATAGGCAATCAAAAGGCACATTCTAAAATCTCAATAGTCATCCACATGTAAAATTCATGTTTTACAACAAAAATTAATTTTTCAACTCCAATTTTTTAAAAAATTAATTTTACCAAAATTTGAACTAAATAG